CATAAAATCATCATTAACAGCTTTTACAACAGCATAATGTATACTGATACATCACCAATAGCTTTTACAACAGAACAATGTATACTGATACAAAATCTAGCTTCCGGTCATTTATATTGCTAGTTAACTGATAGATATGTGCACGTAATTGAAGCTTGGTCAGTCTAGTGCTTATTCTGGACGGAATCAATCACCATGGTATGAAAAAAAGAACTCATAGAGCAGGTATTAACGTGTTAGCGTTGTAGGTGTCATCGCCAGTGTGCATTAATTGTCTTAGTCTCTCCAGATTGTGTAGACAACTGTACTTAATTTATAAATCCGATTTTAAATCGCAATAGCATTATTACTAACACCACCAGCTTTACATTCCGCTTTATAAATAATTTTTTTTATGTAATCTTTTAATGATTCTATATTCGACAAAACCCCAATATAAGTTGTAATTTGTACACAACATCAAACCCTCCAAATGCGTAGCATTTTCTTATAGAATACAAACTTCTCGACTGTATCTCGCTTAAAAATCTTAGCGCTGAAGCGTATCCAATAAGTATAGATAATAGTTGCTCCCTCATTGGCATACTATCCTTTCCATATCTTCCTTCAGCACAAAAAGAGTGATCATCTATGAGTCCTGCAAGATCATATCCGTCCAACTTTCTACTCTATCATAGAGATCCCTCGTTGCCAAAAATGTCTTACTTACCCAAATCCGTTACGTCCAGCCGGTAAGACATCTTTCGTGCAAATTGGTCATCCTTCAACAGTCTTTTTACTTCCTGTAAAGCTTTACCGCCACTTATGATTCACTTATAAAACCGCATCAAAATAGAAACCCTCAATCCTACCAGTGCACACTGATCGCATCTTGTTCCCCTACCTGTTAAATATTAGCAGCACAACCTCCTACTTTTTCCTGTTGAGCCTCTAGAAACGGCTATACTTCGTCAATCACGAACTGTATCGACACTTTATTTGCTGCTGGTAAGAGACGAGGAGGTTGATCAGCGCTCTTCTTCAAGACTCTTCTAGGTCCCTTTCGAATTGCATGTACATCCGATGCAACAGATTTGACTGGCAGCGGTGCCGTGTAATAAAATTTAACCGATCACTACAGCGGCGACAACAGTCGGACAGTGGATATCTACTATTTCTGCAAAAAATCTACTGGTTGGCGACGTGTTATCGGGCTCTAATGAGTCGTTCCGGCTTTCATCATGCCTCGCTGGAAGGAAGGCAAGCACCCTAGATGCGAATCTACCTTTTTTTATTCCCAAAAAATGTCGGGTTTTTGCAGCGGCTCTAAATGGCCACCTAGGTGGGGTGGAGTTGTATGCTCACGATCCATCTTTTTTACATAGAGCGGAAGTTTACCATAATGACGACGCTTGTATCACAATTGATGTTTGCCTGGTATTTAATGACACACTTTGTGCAGGGATCAGAGATCAAATGCGGTATCGGGGGCTTTTGATGACCGGCGGATAGTACTCGCACCGCTCGAGGGTATTTCGTGGATGAGGGATCGCCAAGTTCAGGAATTTAATTAGAATTAGCCTAATTATACGAGGGGTAGTATTCGCTTGGCGACACAATGCCTTGGGTGATTATTTATTGAGAATTTGTCCGGTATTCGACCTCGCGTGATATGTCAAACCAAAATACGGCAAAGCGGCGGCATTCGGGGTATTTCTACATCGCTCGTCTGTATAATTTTCTATCACTGGTATACAGGGAAATTGAGCCGGGTTCATTAATTGCGTACTTGACAAATGTGCACCGTCTTCATGACTCGTTATTAGTACTGATGGTAAATAGCTGACTATATTTTACACTTGCATGAAATGCGGAGTGAACTAGTCGCGTCGATGGCATGCGATATAGCCACGTCTACGGCCAGTGGGCCTCCTGTATACTTTAATGCGCATCCAGCGCTTAGCGCGTTGCACACATTTAGTCTATACGTCGAAGATGGCGGCATCAATGCGGCAACCCAAACAGACTATGTCCTGACGGAGCTGTGATCAAGGTACTCGAATTCTCGATGGAAGTGAGGCAAGAATGTAGCTTCTATTGACGTCTAATGACATACCGCTGATCACTTGGGAGATATACCCGGCGGACAAGAGCTTCCTATTCGACCACCGCACAGTCAATGTATTGTCAGAGAAGTAACATCTTTTCCGCCTCGGAATTGATCTACCCACGATCTGTTGTGTCCCGTATTTGAGTGTTCGGCTGCTGTTCTAGAAAGAACAAGCCATGTATTCTGAACATTCCCTTGTGCAAGTCGCCACAGGAAATATTGTCTTGATCGGTAGCGAAGGCTATGCGCTTTCATGGATGCAGACTTACACGTCTGGTGTTTACCACGGACCTACTGGGTATATTCTTAAAACCATCTTCGACCCAGGCAAAGATTCGACGTGCGCTCAGGCTGAATTCTTCTCAACATCCTAAAAAGAATGGCAATTTGTTTTATCTATGACGCTTCATGTAATTTGAGTCAAGCGCGTCCACCGTTTAGTTTAATTGTCTCTGTCCTAGGTGGTACACATAGCCACGGCCAGAATTCTCTTTTGGCGGTCAATTCGACGGTCTGTGGATAACATACCAGCTTGACATTGGGGGAGACGGGCGGATCCTTCAGCATGTAACGTCGGCTTTGGATCATAATCTTTTATGCTAAGATAAAACTACCTCCGTTGTAAGTGCTAATCATTGAACGGTGCCGTGGTGCTGTACTTCCTAATTTGAATAGGGGATGACAAAATTCTAGGCCCCAGCAGAGATTAATTTGTCATTGTTTGAGCCGCATTCAGAAGCACACCGCATGCGTCTTGTGGGTAGTGAGCATGGTGTATGGTTCTTCACATTCAACTACAATGGCTGCCAAAATGCTGATAGTTTGTGCACGGTCTTCGTATGGGGAGGGTTAGCGGCCACATACACCTGCATGTCTTTGGGGATAGCGCTATTAGTGTTTTCGTAGCTTTGAACGCGTCAAAGTTTACGCAAGACACACTTAATGGGGAACTCTCACGACGTACAGGTCATAGCTAACGATGCCGAAGTCTCCAGCTGAGGAAATCATTATCGCACATACAACAAACTGGCGGATCGAATGCTGATATCACTTTAAAAAACAAGGGCTTTATTTAAAGACACGCTCCCTCTGACCAAGGTGATATCGAAGAGGGTTCGACCTTCCCCTACAATCAACTCAATCACTAGCTGGATTCCTTTCGCGCCAAATAGCATGCACTACATGGCCACACGCTAACACCAAGGAATTTGATCATCTTTAAAAACGGTTTGCGTGACGGCGCTCTGCTGTCCGGGAACAAGTACTACCTAGTTTATGAATTTGTTGTATCCCCTTCATTTTTCCAAGCGACATGATATGGTGCTTGGTATACGTTTAAACTTTTACCTCACCATCGTACTCACTTGTCTCCAAGACTCTTGTCAAGCGTCACTTTTTCATCTAATGACATAATGATCTAATAATTGTATTGCTTCAAAAAGTTTATCGTATAATTGTTTTAGGAACGATTGATCCGGTAACACTTTTTACTGTGATGAGATGCAACCAAAGCACTCGAAATATCTTTAATGTTACATGTTTAATAAGGCTGTATGTTGTTCTAATATCAACTCAACATTTAACAAATCCAATACCAGGTTTTATCAAGTAAATGTGGGCGAGAACTCGTTAAAAGTACATTTGGACAAATGGTTGAATTTTGTATTGAAATAGCGTGTTAAAATAAGAGTTGAATTGATTATGAAAATTGCAGAAATACTGATACAAAAGAAGAGCATAAAATGACTAAGTGAACGAAAATGTCATTTACATGCAGACACATCGCGCACAAATGTGACCACATATCGCATTCCAGCTTTCTGTGGATTGTGTCTCAGCTATTAATAAAAAGAACTTTACATCAGAAGGGACGAGCCGCCGAACTATTGCTTTAGGATAATAAATAATAGCAGAGCTGTTACAGGGTTTAACTTGGTTAGAAATCTCCTGGATTGGGGATCGAGCAGGTAAATTCATATTTTTGTTTCTGGTAGAAGCATGGATATGCTCGCTCGAGATGATGATCTTGAAGTTACATCAGGCTTCCTTAATTCCAGTTTGTCCAATGACATTCCATTAACGTCTACGCTTTAGTCGTTGGACTTAGTCTATGCATCGATAGCTGTCTTCACAAGCGATCACAATACAGGAGAACTCCAACATTTCCTCTATCGCAAGTTGTCTTTTCGGTGTATTGATACAGCAAAAAAATTGATTTTAGATCTCCTCTTACGTCCTCTGACTAAACCTCCTTTCATTTCCAGCCAAGTTATTCTCGTATTAATTTTCAATCAATAACCCTTAAAATCGATATTTGTGAGACACGATTCCATACATTAACTTAACATTAAGCATGTAGCGGAGCGACACAGCTCCTTAAGTCAGAGGAAGACTTAACGCTCTACAAGCAACTTAGTTCCAAAGAACTAACGACTTTACGAGTCAACAAGCTTTACAGCTTCAGATCCCTGCTCCAGGGTGCCTAACGATTCAGTGAATCGACAGCACTTAGTGCTCAAGAGTAGCTACCTCAAGGAGGTGTTGCTAACTCTTAGTGATCAGTGATCAACGATCAAGACGGCTCGCAAGCCACGTGTCCTTTAGATCAAAATGGGAACTGATTTTATTTTTGTTAAAGCCTATAGAATATCTTAATCCTACTCAAAGATCTTTCTTATCTAATGGCTGACACTCGTCAGCCCCTACAAACCGATAAGATATTCTATATCACCTTCACAGAAGGGTAACCCCAGGTGTGTAACACCTCTGGTAAAAAGTACCATAATTTCGTGCAACCCCGTTACACCCTCCCCCACCAGACTGACGTTTGCCAAAACGTCAATCGAACTTGTGTTCTCAGCGAGATCAGTGCGCGTACGGTGAACCTCACGGTAACGTACGCTCCAGCAGGATGTCCTCATCACCAAACGAGTCAAAGGCTCTGTGTGACTACCTCGGGATAGAGGAGGAGGTGGACTATGGTAGCGATACCAGTGTCCGCGGTGATACAGGGACAATGTCCGGCTCACTGATGCCGGAGGCACAACTTTCGAACACCCCAAATCCGTTCGCTGAACGTGGAGGTGCGAGCGCGCCACCAGCGCAGCGTGCAGCATCTGAGTCTGATGAGACTATCATCACGAACCCGCTCGATGAGCAACAATATTTGCTTGTCCAAAGAGAAGAAAACGCTCAGCGTTATGTACAAATGGCTGCAACCCTTGAACGCCAGCGTGACTATGTGTTCACCCCACCCAGTGTGGAGGAACGTCTACGTCAAGCGGCCGGCCAAACATTGGTAACGTGGGTCATTGGCCATGGGCCTAAGACTCCTGAGGAGGTGGTGAGCTGCCAGGCACTTCGTGAGAGGTACCTGGAGCCGCACCTAACGACTAAAGTCAATACAAAGCACGCCTTGACATGCAAGCACGTGGTGCACCGGTTCCACCGATCAAGGGTATACCCATTCTCTTGCTCGCAGGCGAAACAGTGAGCGAAGAAGACGATGCCTTCGTTCACTGGGTGCACTATGTGCGTCGCCTCAGCAATATTTTTGCTCTAAGAGCTAGTGCCCATGCGGCGGATGTGCGTCTCGAACGCAAGCTTCGGTATAATTATGCCAAGCTTAAGGCCAGAGGCCAATTGCGCAAGCGCACGCGCTATGCTTCGGCTACTAAGGTAGACGCGAGTGCTGGTCAGTCTGTGGCCAACAACCCGCCAACCCGCACCAATAGTGGTGGGGAACGGCCTCGGTCTCGAGATGACCATGGCCACGATGCTCAAAAGCCTCCAAAGCATATGGGCAGTCTTGCCAAAGGGGTACCTCAAATTCCCATGAGTTTTCAGACTCAGGGTACCCACGCCACTTTACCAGATACTGGTATTGGCCCTGACGACGACGTCGTTTCAGTAGTCTCTCGACATGAAATTGACGACACCCATGCTCATCGAGCAAAGTCGGTGGCGGCCGGTGTACCGGTGGAGGCCCACGAGAAATTGGTTCTCGAAGTGAAGGGTCTTCAAGAGGCCTTGGGTAAGTCTCAGTGCATGCTATATGCGATGGAAAGCCGCCTTCAGGCGATGGAGCAAGCTCAAACTCGGAGCGAGGCTCAGTTGGACTTGCTGATTCGTCTACAGCAATCCAGGGCAGTGCCCTTGACGTCGGCGCAAGCGCCTCCAAGTTCACATGGGAAGGATCCCGGTACGGCTTAAGTAAGCCTACGAAGAACACTGGATGTGTGCGCAATTTGCGCGGGAGGTTTAGCGTATACGCAAGTCCCTTCTTGGCCGTGACCGTAAACGGTCCAATAAAGCGTGGACGCAACTTTGTCTTAAAGACAGCAGACACTACATTTGTAGGTAGATTTTTAGCATTGAGTAGTACTTGGTCTCCGACCTCATAACGTTCAATACAATTTCTGCCTTTGGCATCAGCTTGTTGTTTTTGGGTATCTTGGCCATCAGCCATTGCGTCACGCACATGTCTTAAGCCATTCAATAATGTTGCGAGAAACTCGCCTACCTGTTTTTGAACAGTAGCAGGGCTGATATCAGCAAGCCGATCGGCAACCTCTCCCCCACCAAGCCCTGAATCACGTAGTGATAGCGTTAACGGAACGCGAGGGTGAGTGAGACCGCTTATATGGAACGGAGTAAAGCCTGTTGAGGCATGAACAGCGTTATTCAACGCAAACTCAACAACAGGGAGCATTGAGCTCCAACGCCGTGGCATACCAGCGCAAATACTACGCAAAATGTCGTTGATGACGCGGTTAACACGCTCAGTTTGACCGTCGGTCTGCGGATGATCCGCTGTGGACATGTCCAACCGAGTGCCAAGCACCTTGAAGATAGACTTCCAAAACTTCCCAGTGAAGCGGGGGTCTCTATCAGAGATAATTGCCACAGGCAAGCCATGTTGGCGAAACACACGGTCGATAAATAGCTTTGCTGTACCTTCCGCATCAATGCGATCCGGCACAGCCGCTAAGTGAGCCATCTTGCTTAATCGGTCAACAAAGACCACAATACCAGTGTTGCCTTCCGAATCTTTCGGTAGGCCAAACACAAAATCCATGCTTATGGACTCCCAACAACCAGTGGGTACTGGCAAACTAGCCAGCGGCGCCGCCGCATGTGCCGAGGGTTTCACCCGTTGACACGTTTCGCACGTACGCACATAGGTGCGCACCCACTTATAAAGTTTGGGCCACCAATAACTTTGGCTCACCGAGCTATAAGTCTTCTCACGACCGAGATGACCACTTAAAGCAGTATCATGTGCCTCATAGAGGATTCGATACTTTAATTCCTCATCATGAGGTACAGCGATACGAGGCTTATCCTCAATATCCGTGCGATAGCACAACAGGCCATTATCGATGGAATATCGATGTAGCCTCTCACGTAAATGTGCCGACAACTCGATGTCCGAGTCTTTAAACTCATCGCTCCCAAGAGCACGTAGCAAAGCTACACACTGATCATCCTTAGCATATGCCGCACGGATTAAGTCAGGGAATGACGACGACAGAGTCGTAACGTGAGAAAGCTCATAGTCAGATCGACGCGATAGCTCATCAGCCAAATCGTTTTGCTTACCCGGCTTGTACTTCACCTCAAAGTTGTATTCGGCAAAGAAGGAAAGCCAACGAGCCATTCTCTGTGAGAGATGAGGCGACTGTGTCGCATTGCGTAATGACGCATGATCTGTATAGATCACAAACGGCTTGGAGCCAAGCAGATTTACTCTGAATTTGACAAGAGCATACTTCATAGCAAGTAGCTCTTTGTCATGAACTGGATAGTTCTTTTCGGCAGCTTTCAGCTGTCGAGACTCGAATGCGATGACGCGTTCGCGTCCGTCGACATCTGTTTGTAACAGAGCACTGCCTATGGCAAAGTCAGATACGTCACAGACGACACTGAAAGGCCGACCAGAATCGGGCAAAGCCAATGTTGGCTCATGAAGGAGACTCTCCTTAACTGCTTCAAAAGCATTATGTTCGGTGTTACCCCAACACCAACCCACATCCTTTTTAAGGAGATTGGACAATGTCCGAGCCATATCTGCGTAATTTGGATTGTACTTATGTAAGTAATTGGCAAGGCCAAGCCACTTACGCAGGTCCTTTTGGTTCTTGGGAATTGACCTATCGACTATGGCTTTCACCTTAGCGGGATCCGCTCGAAGGCCTCGCTTCCCAAAGAAGCACCCTAGAAAGGGAATCTCTTCTGCACCAAAGATGCACTTCGATGCGTTGGCATACAACTTATTCGTTCGCATACACTCGAGCACAGCTCGTAAATGATCAATGTGGTTATCCACATCTGATCGCTCATTCATTGCACGACTATGGACAAAAATGTCATCAAAGTACGTTTGTGCATAGCCTCGATGAGGTCTATATAGTTGCGTAATAAGCCGGTTAAACGTAGCCGGGGCGTTAGATAGCCCCTGTGGCATAACAAGCCACTCCCAGAGCATACCGCTCGGAGTGCTGACCGCTGTCAGCGGAATATCACTAGCTCGCATAAGCAGTTGGTAATATCCATCGACTAAGTCGAGGGCACTGTACATCGTACATCCCACCATATTGTTCTGAAGAACATCCTTGCGAGGAATCGGTGTTTGAGCCGGGATAGTGGCTACATTCAGCTTATTGTAAGCATGCACTATTCGCCACTTCCCATTAGGCTTTTTCACACAAAACGTAGGCGTAGAGTGAGGAGGCTTACTCTCACGCACCATGCCAGCCGCGTGCTTTGCACGAAAGAACTTGTCAATGACGTCACATTGTTCCCGTGACAGTGGCCACTGTCGCGTCACACAATATTGATTCCTGGAACCAAGTCAATCTCATGACGTATACCTCTATCGGGAGGTAAGGCAGAAGGTGGATTGTGACACACCACATCTTGAAATTCCTTAACTAAAGGATAGAACGGATCCAAAGGATCTTTAAGGATCGAAGATCCACTTCGTGCACTAAGTGCCGCCTTTGTATCCTCTAGGACAGACTCATCCATTAACGAGGAAGAATTCAACTCAGTATCAGGTCTAATGACCGCTAGATCGGATAACTCTTCTGCCTTCAAGGCCTGGCTAAACTCGCCATCAGACATTTCGTCTAGCTCACAAAGAGCGTCCACAAATGGAAGGGGTTCAAGGCAAACACTGCCATCAACCCAACCAGTCACTCCATTAACAAGTGTATATAGTGTATTACTATTATCACTATGTGACTGTGAGGACGCCTGGCGCTTAAAAGTAGCTACCCGGCGTCTCAATCGTCTCTTCGAGACCTTACACCCCTTAGGGGTCGGGACAATATTGTCCCCATGGTTACTACTAACCATAGTACGCTCTATACGAGAGCTTTTGTCTTGACCGACATCCGGTGAAGTGCTACATAACTCGAACACTTCACCCAGTGGATTGGAACGTGCCACTCCACGTGTATTATGCGGGACTAGCCCCAAATTTAACGGCGTCTCGCCAATAAGGTCATTACCGACATTAAGCGTGGTGCCCTCACGGCCGTCCACACTATACGGCGTATCGCCAACAATATCTTTACTGACATTAGGTGTGGTGCCCTCACGGCCGCCCACACTATATGGCGAAGCGCCAACAACGCCATTACCGACGTTAAGCGTGGTGCCTTCACGGCCGCCCACACTAAATGGCATATGGCCAACAATGTCATTACCGGCATTCAGTGCGGTGCTCTCACGGCCGACCGCACTCGGTGTAGTTTCACGTGCCACCATACACACATTAAAGGAATCACATCCTTGATCACTCGGCCCTAGGCCAACCATGCTTTCAGCATGCAGTGACTCGTTATCACAACGAGTTACACTCAACGGAGTACGTGCCGTTTCACTAGACGAGCTAGGCTCGAAACTTATGTTTGTAACATTGGAGTTAGATAACTCAGACATTCCAATATCCAGCACATTGACATCTTCTGTCAAAGGCTCGCGCCAGTAGAGCTTCTGTTGCCTAGCGAAGATGGGTTCATGACTCTCCAAAGCTTCGCTAGGAACATTGCGCGTGGCGCCTAAGGTCTTAGACCTCCAATCAGCCCATGGCTCATGGCGCTCAAGCCAAGCCATACCTAGGATCAGATCATATCTCGAGTTCAAATCTAGGACAAGACAGCGCTCAATACTGTCAAAGTCTAAAAACTTTATACCTAAGTTCAATGGAACTTTTAGGCACAGTTACGCGACTTCCAGTCGCTAAACGAACCGTGATAGAATCACCCTCATGCGCTTTAAGCGCCTCATCATAACGCTGACTTCCCTCAAGGGAACGGCGTCGAGCATAATTGCAAGACGCTCCAGAATCGATCAATATCGACCAAGGCTTCTCAAAGCCCTTAATTTTCGCCTCGGCGACCAACAAGCCAGACTTGTATCCACGCACCATACCCGTACGTATGGTACTCTTTGGGGCTAAGCCCTGCATTCCTTTACCTTCTAAAGGTGTAACAGAACCTAGTTCTTCCCCAGTAGGGCGCCCCGCGCCTACTGGGTGTCGGCATTTCCCCGTGCCATACCAGACTTCTGACTCGGGGTCGAGTGTTGGCTCGTAGCCTGGCGTTGCTTACGCAAAGGGCAACCAGGCCGCAAGTGTTTAGTGCTTCCGCACGTAAAACATCGTCGTACGACGTGTTGCTGCTCAGCAGCTTGAAGCTCAGCTTCACCTCCATCTTCAGCATAGCTGAGATCCATCGGTTCCGGCCTATTATAGGCAGTGGTACCCGAATAGTTTGCTCTCACTGAGCGAAGATTGTATCCATTCCAACCAAGTCTGGCCGACTTGTAGTTATGCGCAGCATAAGAGCAATTCTCACAGCCTCTTCAAACGTAGAGGGGTGAACCCGAAAAACATCGGTTCTGGCAATGCCAGTACGTAGACCTTCCATGAAGATATAGTCACATGGACTGCTTCAGGAAGAGGGTCAGACTGCATTGCAGCCATGAGCGTTCGCAGCTCTTGGACATAGTCCGATAATTCATTCTTACCCTGGCGGGTAGAAAGAAAGCGTGAACGCACGCGGTAAGCCTGGTTAGGTGGAGAAAACACCTGTACCAATTGCGACTTGAGCGACTCCTATGTAGGAAACGCTATGTCCACCGACGTGCTACACGTCAAGGCCCATTCTCTAGCTCTACCATCGAGCTTCGAGATAGCCAGCGAG